CTGGCGGTTCGTCGTAGGAATGTTGGCGAAAAGCACGAGCGAACGCGAGTGTCGCGGTCGTCATGGCGTCCCAACTTCTGGCTGCCGAAGCTACCGTGAACTGCCGCACTGGAGAGCGACCTGGAGCAGAACAGGCGTCTGCCACATCAACCACCGCTGCTGGGACACCGCCAAGATTGCGACCGGCGACAGCACAACACTTCTATGATGTCATCAAGCGGACATTGAGGGACCACTTTTTTTGGCGCGGTAAACACACCAGTCGGAGACGCGTTCCAATCATTATACATGACACTATGCACGTCAAATGACCACGTGACACATGATTAATCCTACTGCCAAAACAAAAGCGCTACGAGAACCCATAATTTCTCACACATAGCAGTTCTGAATATGAGGATTTGATTAATATATACAGAAATGCAGCTGCCAATTTCTTATTCTCAAATATTTATTTTGTGATACTAACGAAAAAAATTCCGTGAACCGTTTTGAACCGGTTACCGTTATATTTTTTTTCGGTTCAGTTCCGGTTCAGTTCTAAGATGGCGGCAAAGATTTCGGTTCGGTTCAGTTCCGGTTCGGCTAAAAATAACGGTTCGGTTCCGGTTTTCGGTTCGGTTCGGTTCCGGTTCGACACCCTGGCGGTGAGTGGCGTGAAGGCGGTGAGTGGCGTGAGGGCCGTGAGGGCGGTGAGGGCGGTGAGTGGCGTGAGGGCTATGAGTGCGTGAGGGCCGTGAGGGCGGTGAGGGCGGTGAGGGCTGTGAGGGCGGTGAGGGCTGTGAGGGCGGTGAGGGCTGTGAGGGCGGTGAGTGCCGTGAGGGCGGTGAGTGGCGTGAGGGCCATGAGTGAGTGAGGGGCGTGAGGGCCGTGAGGGCGGTGAGGGGCGTGAGGTTCAGTGAGGGTGAGTTAAGGGCTGACGGTGAGTGTGACTGTGAGGGTGAGTGAGGGGCTTAGGTGAGTGTGGCTGTGAGGGTGAGGGTGAGTGAGGGCGACCTAAAATGCCGACCTCTGGACATGCATAGAAACGAGCATTGCGTCACTCGGATGTATGCGCTCGTCAACAAGTTCGCGGTCAATGAGTGCCGTGACGGCAGTCGTCATCACTTGCGAGCGACAAGTTCCATGGTGTGCACGGTGGAAGCTCGGAGCCATCGCATCCGGTGCCGAAGTACGTCACGGCCACATTGTTTTTAATGCGAAAGCATTAAAGGGACCATGAAATGACCTTTTTACTTTTTCCAGATAACTTTTACATTAAACCGTCAATGTTCACTGAATGCCGAACAGGCATCCGTTTTCGTCTCGGTTTATTAACTTTTACACAAAAAATAATTGAAATATCGACTTTTTCATTCTCTCCAACTGACCGCAAAAGAAGCCGTGACGTAGACCGTTTCCGGAACCGGAAGTTCTCTCGGCAGTAGGAGAATGGGAGTGTTAGCGGCAACGAGTTGGGGTGCGCCGGTAGGTTTTACTGCGCTGATGTCACCGACGTATTTCCTGAATCGGCGCCTCTCATCGCCGCATCGCAGCTGAGCGAAATTCAATGAGATATGTTGCGCTACAGCGACAGCATGGGACTAGTCCCATACGCCGGTATGCCTGTTGGGAAGTGCAGCGAGTCTTGTCACCACCCCGTCATTGTTGGCAGAAGGGCCGGCCCGTGTCAGTCGTTTGCAAAGCGACGTAGATGGCGTTTTTCGCGGCCTCGGAGATGCAGGAGCGAGCCGACGTTAAAAAAGATACGTTTGAACTACGAGTGTCAGCAAGAGCCACGTAAATACCTGTTTACACTCGGAGCGGACGCGCGCGCTTGATGGAAGTCTTGTATTCGCGCTGTTGGTAAGCGCTTCGGGACCGTTCTTTTACGATTGCAACTCGATACTGACGCGACACTCGGCAAAGAAAGGTTGGACCGGGGTCGACAGTGACCTGCAGTCTGTCAGAATAAAAATGGCATACCAATAACAAAGTGTACATACCGTGTTACGAAGGCAATCCATACGGCGTTTATTTCAGCTCTATATCACACAAAACAAGAAGATAGAATCGACGAGAGTCCATTTTCGACGAGTGTTCGTCAACACTGCCTCGGAAAACAAGGGGAAGAGATTGACCTCCTCACCTCTTAATCTAGAATTGAGGTCAGTGATCAAACTATAATACGGGAAGGGTCCACAAGGGTCGCGCGGGCATATTCCATTTAGCACGCCAGCCGGTCGTAGGCAGACGGTCTTGCGACGAAGCAACGCAGCGCCGAGTCGGAATGCCTGCTAGGCCTATACGCTTCGTCGGAGTCGGTGAATCCAGCGTTCTTGTTCGTCGTGGTCTGTTTTCAGTACTGTTTTCTTGCTGCTTGAAGTCGGCACGCGCGGGAAGAACACGTAGAAAAATAAACGTTCAGTCAGTCAGAGTTTTGAGAGGAAGGAAAACAAAGAAAATAAATGTTCGTCGGTCGCCGTCACCCAAGTAACTGGCGGCCCTGCCCTACTGCGCACGCGCAGTAGTTGCTTCGTTTACCACACGATAGATGGCGCTTGGCTCTCAGCATTATCAAATTTGGCAATTTTCGCCACACATCTCTAATTATGCTACAAAATGTGGATCTGAATATTATTTAACAAAACTTTTAGGAAACATTCGCCGGCTATTTATTGTTTACGATCGCGGTGCTGGTGAGGTAGGCTCTTACCCAATAGGCGATGTGGATTCGGCTGACGTGCACCGATTCTGCGTATGCATCGTAGTGAACAGGCGAAGGAAGGAAGGCGCAAAAGAGTCCAGTTTTCTTTTAAAAGTTCTATAGCAAATAATTTTTTTGGGCTCCCTATTTTTGTGTTTTTGTGTTTCTTTTCCCACCTTTTACGACGTGCGGTGGATGAAACTCGATTTTAAAATCATTTCATGGTCCCTTTAACTGTTTCATGGAGCGAACCCATGTCATCAGCTTTTGAAGCCGCGCCAAACGGCACCTTCCCCTCAGAGCCCTGCTTCCCCTTTCCCAATGGAGCGAAGCCTGACGTTTGTAGCAGAAATCCGATGGATTTCTGCCCCCATTGGCTGGCGCGCGTCACAATTTCAAGGAAAGAGGCTCCTTCTCGCGCGGCGTAGTTCCAAGGAACGTCACCAGAGAAGCCCTCTCCATGCAATACCGCCTAAAACACAAGGCCTGCGCGTTTCCTCCGCTAAATGTCATCATTAGTAGAAGCAGATCCCCTCAGCGCCCCTAGGTAGCTTGGATGAGCACTACCGTCTGCTACACTGTCTTCGACATCGTCTGCTCCATCGCCTTTTTCAGTGGTTTCTGTGGCAGATAATGAAACAGATGCTCACGCCGAGTGTCTGTTGCTATAGCATACGATGAAGTTTGACGTTCACGCGGAGCGTCAAATGCATGAGTGAAAATGCCTTGCTGATGCGCGAAAGGCTGCAAAGGACGCTGGACGCAGGCACTGGAGGCCATTTTTGGAGGGCGCAGAGAATGCAGTCAACGCTACGAGCAATGAGAGCTCGAGGTCGCTGCTTTGAAGCGTCCTTCCGCAGAACGAGCGCGCGCTAGCTCGCGCTCCTGGCTGAAGGGCGTTCGCATTCATGCGCGTTGCAAATGAACTGGAAGCTCGCTATCAGCTCGCGTTTAGCAGTCGCGCGCACAGCTGTGGCCGCCAGGGAATGCGACGCAGTTGTGACGCGGCCCCTACTGTCGTCAAGCTTCAGCCTGTTTGTCGCATGGGGCGGGTCGGGGATCTACTAACGAAACGCCATGCGCAGGCCTTGTCTTCTAGGTGGTATTGGCAGGGCCCGCACGGGCAAACTCCGGAGAGGTTGCACGGCCGAGCTCAGTGCGGCACGGCCACTTCACGAGAGCACGCGCTCGGCAGTTGGCCACCTCGGCAGTAGCGGAACGTGGACGCGTCCACGCCAGTACGCCGCAGGCTAACTGAGGGAGCGGTAGAACGAATTTCATGCTTTCGCATTCACAACTCAAATAACCTCAGAACTTTTTTTTTTGCTGCGGCCCAGGATTGTGTTCGCCAGCAAACGTCAACACAACACTCTGGACAGCTATCGCCACCTATAACCGACGGCGGCAACCTTTCCAGCCTCTCCACTCTAGCTTGCCGACTTGCCGGCCGGCCATTACTTTATTCCCACCATAGTACACTTTCGCTGGTCCTCTTTCTTCACCAGAGTGAAAAGGCTGAAAGTTTTCATCACGCTTTTGAGTTAAGGATTAAAGCTGAGGTAGTTAAAAAATCATTTCATGATTCCTTACAGTCAAAGCATTGGCTTGTGATTAGAAACGGGCGAAACGTAAGGAAAGATACGCACATATGCCTGTATGCTCGACGATCGCGGTTCAGCATCTCCAATCGTGATCTTCAAACAAATGATGAACTGTAGCAGATGCGTGTCTATCATGCCAAAATACAAACTGAACCTGAAACCAAAAAATGTCCGCAACTTTTTGGCGAAATAACACAGGGTCGTTACCTTCCGCCTGCGGAACAGAGCGAGCAGAGTATCGCAAAGACTGTCCAGTCGTCTGCTTGTTTACCTCCGAAACCGCGCTCGCGTTATGAAAATAGCACAATAACGCATATCTAAGTTTCACATCCAATGTCCGAAGATTAAAGAAGCTTCCTGCTTGTCATACTTCAGTGCAAGATCTACATTTTGCGAACGCAGAGCGAAAAATATGTCCTGCTCCAAACCAACACCACCCAGAATAATCAAAGCCTGTGCACTAGAATTTTGACGTCATCACAACGAGATCAAGCGAAGGCACAGATTGGATACCAGGGCTGCGCCAGTGCTTGGCTGTGCGAGTTGGCAGCGATACTCTGGCTCCGCCATATATATTATTCCAGGGATAGCTTCTGCAACAGCTGCTAGGTGGGTCGCATTCTCGTTAGAGGTCTATTGGCTATTATAGTAGTAGTTTTGGCAGAAGGGCAGGTCGTAAAAATATAATAAACAATAATGACAAACTCCCATTGTGCAGAAATTGGCAAACATTTATTAGTCTGTCACCACACCAATAGTGGCACAGCACTCATAACATTAAGACTGGTACAGCCCCCAAAAAACTGGTAACTGAACCTTCAGTCAATCGAACTCCGAACAAAGGCTTTGTAATCACCGTCTTTTAAACTTGCTCCCCCTCACAAGAAAGAGCTAACCATGAACAGAACAAAAGTGAATGTACCAACTGACTTTAGCAACATACCAACAGCATACTGAGCACTCTTGAAGAAGACCATCGTTGGATTCAAGTATGGTTAGCATGCTACCCAAGAAGAATGTACAATGCAGTCGTCTTCGTACCATTCATGGGTAATCTAAATGTCACCGAAAAGTACGACCAAGGACAGCTCCATGAATGCATTCCAACTTGCACTATCCCTTAAAAGAGGTATGCAAAGTGCCACACCATGCAGCTCAGCATCAGCGCAGAGCGAAGCTTGAAGGCAAAGCGTTTCCAATATTGCGAAGGATCCACATAAACTTAACAAATCTGAAACAATAACTTGCAATGGCTTTTTTGCACTTTATGCTGAATGAAATATGCCTTCAATTCATTTCGTCGTCACTACGAGGTAAGGTAGTCATAAATGAAAACAACAGAGGAAATTTGACACCCTGTGGCTGTATGAAGTCACCATCCAGTTCTTTACTTTAGAGTTGAGTGCTGACTGAATTATAAAAAGTAACATTTTACTTGGCGCGACCCAATACCAAAAAAGAACAAACTTAAAACATAGATTGTCGAATTAACACGGGCAGCCTAGTGCTGAACAATACACCAAACTTCCACAAAAACTTTCCAGACTTAGGACAGTTTTTTGTATGGAGTACTATGGTAGGCGCTTATTCAATTAGGTCAACGACATGCATTGCTACATTTTTGATGAAAAAAGTGCCATAGAAAGGCAGATGCCACTATACAAGGCCTGTGATTTCAAACAAAAACTGCACTCTGTACAACCCATTTGACCGAGGTAGTGTCGGATCCAATTTTGATACTCATACAAAAATATGTAGCAACCTATTGAAGTGATGGAAGAAGATAACATGAGACATAAAAAGACACGGCTAAAAAAAAAAAAAAGATTAATTTGTCTCTGGGACTTTTAAAGCCCAGTATAAGGGATTACTATATAAAGTATAAAGGACTTGCTTCAAAGCAGCAGTTTCACATGAGGTGCCACAATCCCATTGATCCCCCAGCAACTCACGTGAAACAGATGCTTTGGAGCGAATACCCTAACTTTATACTGGGCTGTACAACCTTTATACTGGGCCATAAAAATATGATGCAGACCATCATTGTACGTTTTGATCTGGAAACGCACACAAGAATACATTTTTGGTTTTTTACTACAGTACAATGGGTTCCTTCATTTAGGCCAGGGGTCTCCAAATCCCGGCCCACAGCCCGCTGCTACCAACGCAAAAATGAGTGCGCACAAGAAAACGGCGCAGCGTCGCGCGCAGTCAGAAATGCGGACGAATATTCCAGAAAGCACGAGAGAAAACTTTATCAAAACGCAAGTTCTCTTGCCAATGATGGGTGTTGATAATTACGACATTGCAAAAGAAATTGGGCCCTAGAAAACTCACCAGTAGTACTTACTATACATGGTCCCCCGTTTTATGCCTGTGTAACCAGTCGAATCTTGTTAATTAGTCTTGGGTTGCCAAAGGCATGGTGGCGCTCTTTAGACGAAGACAAAAGAAAGAATACCAACTAGCCCAGCATTCAGCATACCAACTAGCCCAGCATTCAGGATACCAACTAGCCCGGCATTGAGTCAATACCAACTAGCCCAGCATTCAGCATCATTAATTCGAGCTTGATGACCGGAAATTTGTTTGAATAAAGCGAAGTTTGAAATACAGGGAGTTTCCTCCCGGGACCTGCATGTTAGTCTGAATTATCTGCAAGTCTGAATTAAGAGAGTTTGAACTAACGAGATTCGACCTATGTTCAAATTCTTGTGCCTTCTGCGTGTGTGTATCCGGCTTAGAGTCCTGTATCATAACTATAGCATACTGTAATAATCAGATATACCATTTCCCGCCTTTTACCCTATGTGAACAAGCAAGGTTCCAACGCGTTTTCACTTACGCCTGGCGAGTTTCCTGGGGCCCAATTTCTTTGCAATATCCTTATCAGAAACACACTGAATTTAGAAAGAAGTATTCATCAATGCTGAATTCTATATATATATATATATTTTTTTTTAGTTTTACTCTAGTTTCAGTTTTTGTATATAATTTCTTTATTTATCTATTTATTTAGTATTTCCTTATTTATATTGTCTAATTTATTTTCCAACCTTCGAGACTGCGAGAGATCCCCAATCCGGCCCCTTAGACAAAATGTTTGGAGACCACCGATTTAGGCATTGTCTTTACTGGTTTAACATGTGAAATTGTTTTATGCCCCATAATTAATGTGAATGAAATAAGAACTAGCCACCATGAATAGACTGCATCTCCAGCAAGGAAAATTCAGAAATAGCCATAAATAAGATTTTCAGAAAAAAAAAAAAAGGAAAAAAAATCTTTTATACATTTTTTAGATAAAACACCTTGCTTTATGTGCTGAAGTAATTGCCAATGAAAACTTAGGTACTAGCGAGTCGGCATGCACGAATACACTACTGCCCCAGAGAGAAATTACCATGAATGATGATGGAAAAAAAAAACAATCACAAAACAAAACATGACATCTTTCAAACAACCACCTTTCAGGCGGAAAGGTGTGGAAACATAGAAAGCATGAAAAAAGTACTCTACTAGGACAACTGGCACGAAAATTGCAAAAAAAGGTTGTGCAGTGCAAGCCATCGCAGCCCGCCTACAAACAGTCACTTGATCAGTAAACAGCCACTTGTCTTTGGGAAAACCCACTGCTGAAGCGGACCCAAGTCCTGAATAAAAAAGGGAATTTGTCGGAGGACTTGAGGACACAAGACGCTCTCACGCAGGAATGGCACGGTCGAGGGATGCAACCCGGCGTCGGAGGGGGTGCTAGTGGAGCGGCCGAGCGGCATCGCAGGACCCAGACTCTTCCCTGATTCTTCGGTTGTAGTTGAGCAGGGTCTCCTGAATTTTATCCTTGGAATACTTGCACTTCTCAGAGTCACACTCACAGGTGAACATTTTGTACTTGATGATCCAGAACTTCTCTCCGTAGTCAAAACTAGAAAGCAAGCGGGGAAGAATGTTGGCAAGCACATGTTTTTCAAATCCCTTTAATACAGTTTTAGAAATTGTAGCAAGAAAGGTGCGAGGCAGCAAAGCCAAGCTCCCTGTTCAATGTCTCCCAAAGAACCCAGATCATGTTTTAGATGTCATAAAATAATTAGAAGACAAAATGTTCGGACTCGGAAGATAACTGCGCTAGCAATGGGCCACGTCTAAAGTCCACACATATAGCCAACAATCAAGAGATTTCTACAACCTAAACAATGTCTAAAAACAACATTACACATTTGAGCAACCTGTATGTCTACTGTAGTATAGAACGACTTCTGAGCAGGCAAAAGGATAGCTGGCTAAAAACGAAAATAATGTCAAACAAATACAAAACGTCCCCCCTCCCTCCTCCTCCCCCCCCCTTTCTTTTTGCAATATAATTATTAGGGGTGTGCGAATACTAGAATATACAAATTCGAATCGAATAGAAAGACCTCTTGGTCCTACCATTCCACAAAAATCTAACGCGCAGGTTAGAAAAAAGAAAAGTAACGAACGCCACGAACTTTATAGCACGCAGATTTACTCACGATCGTGACACAATCTTCCATTGAATCACAACCGAAACAGAGAAGCCGGAATTCCGCGCCATGCCTAATTCTTTTGACGAGTAAAGCCCCTTGTTTCAAATTGAAGCGCTGATGTAGAACACACTTGCTGCATTCACAGAAATCGGCGACTGCACAATCACACAAAGAAAACTACGTTAACCACGCCGATGAAACCAGCCGAGTTATCGTCGTCGTTCTTTTGGAACCGCAAGCGCCGAAAGCCGCAAATTCTGATTCGGAACGAAACGGAACGGAAAAATAGTGTGCCTAGATTTGAGAGGGTTTCCAACCGTTCAATAGCCGAGCTTGGATTTTGAACTGCGAGAAGGTGACGAAAAGACGAAAGCATCGATCGGGATCGGGCAGGCGTCGTCGCTCTTTTGTTTGCTCGCCCTCTTCCCACACGACAACACAACACATGCGCACTTACGACCAATCTGCGCTAAAGCCGTCTCCGTAATTTCAGTTTCGCTTGCTCCCTCTTTTAAATCAAGGCTCTCTAAAACAGGATAGATACGACGGAAAAATGAATGCATAGAGGCAGTTGGACGGTGACTTGCGCCACCTAACCACGTTTTGTTTTCTTGCTTCAGATTATATTGTTTAAGCCAGTTTACTCAGATTTAACACCTATATGTTTATTTATGGGAAATAAAATCCCCGGTGTCCTTTTTCTTCCTTAAAATGGAGACCAAATATCGCAAAATGCCCCTTTTCTGAGATACACAAATATATAAAAAAAAAAGTCGCAATGTTAAATTGTGCTTTTAACAAGAAAAAAAAAAAAAAAAGCAGCGTGGCTGTAACTTTTCTTGTTTTTCTTTTCTGTGTGTGACGTTTAGGGTAGATTATGTTTGCGCCATAAAATTGGATCTTTAGTGCCCAACGTCCAACAGCAACTGCTTTTTTTTTTTTTCACCAGAACTTTTTTTATATTTTTGCTATTGTTCTGTACAAGATGCATATTCTACACCAGGCGCATACTCTGCACATATATAGTCTCATTCGCAGCACACTTTAAGAAATTCCTACAAATAAAATCACTATTCGATATTCGATTCGATATTCGATTCGATATTCAGCTTTTTTTTTCTTGATTCGATTCGGTATTCGATTTGAGAACTACTATTCGGTACTCGCACACCCCTAATAATTATGCATTGCCAAATGCTCATTTTCCGCCAAAATGTAGAGCCAGCAGTCCCAACCGGATGCCAAAGTTTCAGAACTAATTGTTATCTTATTAAAAAGTTAGAACTGATTTTTTTTAATTTTACACGAGAAAATGGCGGTTGATGAAGCTCTCGAATGCGTTCGGGCGGAGAATCAGCATTGGCAATGCGTCCTTTATTTTTGTGGTAAAAAAAAAACCCTGTAAATATTTTTTTACAGACATGCTGTAGAAAGTTGAGTTAAAGTCGTCTCCCAGTTGGAGAAGAGGATTGACTCACCCTAGCTCCTCGTTGGCTTTGATGTCCTTGGAGCTAAAGAAGGCCATGCGGGGAAAACTCAAGTCCTGGTGGTCTACAAACACACGTACAGGCACCAGGTTGGGCTCACATAGATGGTTGACAAAGCGGCTGATGTTGCCATAGTAACGGGCATCCAGGCAATAGGTCTCCCCATCCTGCAACAGAACCAGAACGCACTTGGGCGTAAACATTTCTTGCGCAGACCAAGGCACCGTGTTCCCCAATGTACCTCTCAAAGCAAATGGGACTCCACGCTTTTAATTGTACATGACCACTCTTACCTGCTAAGCCACGTTCCTGCACACTTGTTGCCCCAAATCGCTTCGCACATCCTTCAAGTTTCACACGACTTGGCTCTTACAAGGTTTGCTTGTCAGAAAAATGTTTTAGTTAATCTATCCATACTTTACGGGTAAAACCAGCTGAACAATGAAGGAAGGAGAAACAGAAAAGACAACCGACCGCTGGACTACCAACTATCTTATTAAACCGTCCTCCTCTTCTACTAGTTCTTATGTGTATCCATTTGCTATACAATACGCATAAGATCTAGTAGAACAGGAGGATTTATTAAAATAGTTGGTAGTCCAGCAATCGGTTGTCTTTTCTGTTTCTTCTTCCTTCATTGTTCAGGTGGTTCCACCTATAATGTATCATAACCAACTAGCTCAACTCATCCCTGTACAGTAAAACCTCGTTATAACAAAATGGGATATAACAAACTAATGGATATAACAAAGCAATCATAATTCCCCTTGCTTGAATAGTTAGAAGAAATGGACATTGGCTATAACAAACTAATGGTTATAACGAAATAATTATGACCGCTCCTTCAACTTCTTTATAACGAGGTTTTACTGTAGTAAACTATCCATACTTACTGTTAGATGTCCTTTAAAAGTAATGCAATATATTAGGACTAAATTGGACTAGCTCTACAAACAGCTGGGTACCTCCGAGTACAGCCTATGAGCTCAGATCTACTACGCTGTGCCAGGGTTCGTACAGGCTCCACAGAAAACAATTCAAGGCTTTTCAAAGAGTTTTAAGGGCCTATAAAATATTATCAGGACCCCTACCAATACTCTACCAAGTCAATTTATAATATAACTTTTTGAAACTGCACTGCAAAAATTCTTTATAGCATGATACCTAGAAAAAGGCACATCATTTTTTACAATTATCACTGAAAAAAAAAAAAATGTTGTGGACAATACGTCGCTGAACTAAATGGTATGGGATTCCCTTTTTGACACCTGCGAACTCAATGTAGTCACTTTCCACAAAATGCAAGGAGCATATAAATCAGGTAGCGTCCGCTTTCCGAGGTGCCCATAACTGTTCTGCAGGAATTGCAGCCAGCCATCGGTCCCGATCCCGTTGATCTTTCAGAAACTTGTGCAGACTCTGCCGCAAAATGCCACTTTCAGATGCAGTACATGTGAAGGAGCTCTTCACGAAACATCTTGGGGATATTCTTTTCGCTGCCGATCACGGGAATTCACCACGGGCACTCACTACTCATCACCAACTCTTCAATGTACGAAAAGACTCATCTTGAAGTACAGAACAGTGAGCGGAACAAACAGAACTGCAAAGGAAACGCACAACAAACAATTCCCAAAACACCTTTCGTCTGCTGCGCGCAAAAAAAACAACAAAACAAATGTGCACGGTTGGGTGTATTTACGTGACTTCCGCGACTCACTCTCTCCTCTCCACTTCTCCGACCTCCGTGCAGAGGTTTTGGTTTCAAGCAGTTGCGTTTTTTGGCTTTATTAAAAATATATGCGACTCTGTAGCAAAATATTATTTGGGTAATCTTCGAACGCCATAATAAATCGCCTGGCAAAAAATGAAAACGTTTTCTGGGGTGTGTCAGTGTCCCTTTAAATCCGCACAAATTTTGCAAGCTATCCAGCAGAAGTCTCACCCTATTCTCGAGGTCGAAGAGGTACGAGTCATCCTCCCGTTTATCTGCCTCGGAGTCGGAGAGGATCTCCCCGATGTACCTGAGAGAAAATAGAAATCCAGGTTAGTGAGACTCCTGCTTCGCAGGTTTTCATCAAAACCGGGACAGTGGAAAGGGCAACCCACTCGCACACAAAGGTCCCCCGTGGGATGTCCTGAAGGGTCCGGACGCCCCAGCCCTTGCCCCGGGTGCGGAACAGCTGTAGGTGGCACCTGGAACGGACGGCAGGTTCGACGGGGCTCAAAGTCAGAGGCAAAGGAGCAACACCATAGGACGGGAATAATGCTCTTCTGCTTTAATTGTTTCACTGCAACAACTATGTTCTGTTGTGTGTTTATTTAGACAGCAAGTTAGTCGGCTGCAACGAGCGTCTAGTATCTCCAATGCAGATGAGGAATTTAGCCAGTACAGTACCACCACCAGCCTGGGGTCTTTAACGCACATCACACAGTACGGCCATACACAATCGCACGCCACTACGATGCTCATCTCGATTGAAACGGTCAGGGGTAGGTTCCCTAGGTTCTGCAGCCCGGGATCCCTAGATTCTGCAGTGCGAGCTTTCGTTCCACATGCTCTGAAGTGCGGCGTACTAACACCCTCGGCCACGAATCCGATCCCCATCCTCCGCAACTACTATGAAATGAAGACACCCAAATCTCACTGCCTGCGTGTGTGGTATTTAAATGGCCAGAGACTGTCTTGGCACCAAACAATTAAAAGTCCCTCCGAAATGAGAAGACAGTAAGGACAGGTTCGACAAAGTCGGGGTGATTTTGGCAACATTACGTAGCAAGTCCCCAGTCAGTCAGGAACCCAAAAATTTTGACTTTGTTCCACAGCAAATGCCTTTCCTTTCCATCTATCCTATGTCAGTTCTTTCGTAAGTTTCCTCCTTCTTCGATCGTGCTTCGATGTTTGATAGTTCTCCCTCTCCGTACAAGCATTACGGCAGTAGGGGAGCTGAAAAAGCGCACAAGGAAGGTGCGGGCCGATGGAAGGCCGGGGATGCCAAACTGAGACACGCACGTGATGCCGTTCTGCACCACCCGGTTGTAGCAGTTGCTCCAGCAAAGGCAGGCACGACTGCACTCAAACAGCATCGGTGGATCCAGCATGTTGAATTCTGGTACCAGGCGGCCCTCCTGCAAAGGAGGTATGGCTTGAGCTGTCTCACTCTACTCAAACAATACGAGCCAACAATTTATGCACTTCAAACTGGGCTCATTTACGAGACACGTAAAAATATAGCGAGGACTTCGGAACTTGAAGATGATTGCACTTGTTAGTCGTCTTCCTCCGACTCTACTGCGTGTAGAGTATACGCATACTATTCAGAGAGCCAAGTCCATTTGTCTAACAACATACTATCATGTTCAATATGAGCTGAGACAGTCCTTTGTGCTTCTTTGGCATACCCGCTTGTTTTTGACCGCAGATGCAAAAAAAGGCCGGATCAGGAGTTTCAGGTCATATTGATTGTGATAGTACGTTCTGTGCTCCTGTTTTGCTGGGCTCTCAGAATTTCCTGCACCCTTTCGTCAAAGGTCCACAGACTTATCTTGTAAGCTAAGGTATATAGAAAGGTTCAATGTAGCACACGAGTTACTGAAATCCTTAAAAATATTCACTCCGAAACTCTTCGCTCTTTTCCATGTTCTACGAAGTATGCATCTACGTTCTACGAGGTCAGTCGGCACACTCTAAAAAAGGAAATTTAGATTCCGAAATAGGAAACAGAAATACAGTGAAAACCGGATAGGTATATCGAATTCAAAGGGGATCAAAAAATAGTTTGATATATGAATAGTTTGATATACAAAAATAAGTTAAATTGAGCTCGAGCTGAAATTTCCTTGCATCTCTGCTAATACAGAAGGTCGCGACAAACAGGAGCTTATTAAATAGAGCATCCAAGATCCGCTTAAAACGTAGTTGGCGGAGACCGCAAACAAACGCCACAGCGCTTACACACGCCTCCACACAGCACAAACAACAAAATGCCAAAATGAAAAAAAGAAAAACGAAAAAGCGAGTTACTAGAAAAAAGTTAAGCAACAAAAAAAAAAGCTCACTAAATTCACGCCGCAAAAAAAGAAAGAGAAAAACGGGCAAAGCAATAACGGCAAAGGAAAAAGGTAAACAAAGATAAGGCATTCAAAGTGTGATCGCACACAGTTGTTCTGGACACACTTGACTAGCCTAAGACTTTTTTTTTTTTTTTTTTTTTTGCTCATTTTATTTTGGGGCTAGGGAGTCGCACAACGTCAGCAGTGTTAGGGGAAAGGGCGCAGGCTATTGCTATCGTTCTGACAGTGGCCACTCCCCGCTCTCCCTACGCGCGCACTCGTGCCCTTCCCTTCCCCTTTCTTTTGCCATCCTCCACTTCTTTTTAACAGCAGAGCTGTTAAGGGCTAGTTTCCCGAGGATTGAGTTGCCCGCAAAGAAATGTCGACACAAAACGCTGGTTGGTGCCGTCACTCATAGATGGCGGTAGCTGTCCAGAGTGTTGTGTTTGCCGGTTGTCCGCTTGCCGCCGTCGCTCATAGATGGTGTAACCTTTCGAGCCTTTCCACTCTGGCTTGCAGACTTGCGGCCGGCCATTACTTCATTCCCAGCATAGTACAGCTTCGCTGGTCTTCCTTCTTCACCAAAGTGGAAAGGCTAAAAGTTCTTTTTTTTTCTTTTTACAGTTTATTGTTTTTTTACAACTGCTCTTTCACTGCGTATCTTGTATCTCACCCCGTGTATGCTGGCTTGGCGGTCTGCCAGCTCTGCAACGCAAGAGATGTGCTCGCCACCGGCGCAATGAGATCGCAGCCGGGTGGCCGGGCTTCGTTCGCTATATCGAGTGTCTCCGCCATGGGAGTTCGATACAAAAAGACAACGTTCCTATACTATTTACATGTGATTTTCAAGGGGATGTTTGGACTGTTTGATATAAACAATAACTCGAAATACCCGAGTCTGATACAACCGGGCTCGACTGATGCTTACCGCTACCCACAGGCCTGAACCCAAGGAATGTGGAACACAACGCACACACATACCTTGCCATACCAGCAGCGGTAGCTGATGTTTGAACAGATACAGCTCTGCGAGGCACAGCCGTCTTCACACTTGCAGCTCTGGGAAAAAGAAATCGGCAGTGTCAAGCCCCACACCCTCAAATTCAGAGAACCAGCCACCTTCCGATTCCTTCAACTTGCCAGCCACTGGTATTCTCTCATTGACCATCAGCTTTGTTTATTAAAAGCTAGGCAAGCCACCATTACTGTGGCATGTTTCTTTATTTTTGAAATGGATGGTTTGACCATTGAAAAAAAAGACTGCTAAACTGCAAAAATTGCAGCCTATTCAAATAACTGCAGATGATTGCAATGAATTCAGACAAGCTATCAGTAGAGAGCTACCATGCTCATAGTACTGCATAAATATAACATTAGGAAAAAAATAACAAAACAACATGGCTCTGATTAATTCTTGCAGCAAAGGTTAGGCAGGAGAGTGCACAAAACATGAGAGAACATTAGAACTGGTGAACTGGAACTAAAGGAAGGAAGTGTCAATGACAACCCTTCACATAAAGGCCCGTTCACTCTCTTGCGACCTCTTAAACCTGGGTTCCTTAAAACTTCTTAAACCAGAGAACACACTGGTGCCATCTATTGGGAAGCAGTGTAAACTCAGCGGTCCGGCATATTTTTTTTTATTTCTCGCGCATTATCCTTTCTTTTTTGACTCGAAAAACTTTTGTCAATGTTATGAACGAGTCTTTCTATGGGTATTACGCACATTTGACCTCGGAAATCCCGCAAAACCTTCGCTCTTGTGAAATGCAGTTCCAGGGTCACCGCATAGATGGCGCCACAATGCCAGTGTGTTCCCTCATGTTCCCTCATTCTAGAAACATTTAAGAAGTTTTAAGAGATCTCGTCTCTCTCAGTCGTACTCGGTCGCAAGAGTGTGAACGGGCCTTAACTGTCAATGCAAATCACAAAATAGTTTCTCTTGTCATCTGTCATCTACACGAACACGGCCCGAGGTCACACACATCTCAGACTCCGTTTTGTTAGCGCCTTGCAGGACATTCCCTCTCCCCGTTTAAATCTGCTTACCTGGAGGGACGTAATGGTGCGGTCAATTAGGATGGGTGTAGTCTCGCAGTTCTCCACCAGGTAGAGGTAGTCCGACGGGGTTGGTTCGTCGTCCACCCCATTGACGCACTGGATCAGGTTAAGCTCTTTGCCTCGGCTGATATCCCTGGGAGGAAAGGGAGCACATCCAAGCTCGTGAAAGTGAGGGAGCCCATGGGCTGCATTATCACGTTGCAGCCGAAATAAGGAACTTCAATTATTTGGAAGTTGTTTCAGAGGCCTAAAAACAAAAACCAGAAACGGAAGGCACCCAGTTCCTCAACAAAATATGGTATACTTCCAAATCGGCTAATAAAGATTGGGTTTCAGACTTTTCAAAATGCATTGGCAGGTTCTCGCAAGCAGCTTCACGGGCTCATCAGAGCCTCACGACAATTTGAGTAAGTGCTAAGGTAATTGTAACACAAAATGTGTTCCGACTTTCTTGGAGCTTGTTGGAGTGTGAATCGCAGTAGACGGAGCGCGCGGAAAACAGAACAATTAGAACGTGGCAGTGCCGAGCAGAGCCCTGGCATCAGCTCGCAGCAAAAAAGAGCCCAACACTCGGAACTACTTCAACCCGTTGCCGCAAAGGAGTCTGCTTTTTAATGCGAAAGCATTAACTGCCCCATGGAGTGAGCCAACAACATCACCTTTGAAGCTGCACCAAATGGCACGTTAAGTCCTTTCTCCAAGTGAAACCGGCTCCCAGCTTTGAAGCCACATAAAAAGCCTAGCCAAATGGCACCTAGTTTCCCCGATCCCAAAGGAGCAGAGGGAAGCTGATGGATTTGAGCTTTGGTCCCATTGGCTGGCGTGCGTCATAGTTTCAGGAAACAAGGCTCCCATTGGCCGCTGGGCATCAGTTTCAGCAAGAGCCACCCCATGGCGCTGCGTGTCGGTAACACGAAGCGTCCAAGGTCAGAGCGACGAGGAGGGCGCTCGCTTTGCCGTCGACGCAGATACGCCGTAGACGAAATAAGGGAGCGGAGTAATGACAGGCATGCTTTCGCATTCACAACTCATAAGAAGTGCTTAGGTGTACCTCAATCCTTTTTTAAAGCAGTAGCGTTATAGGGCCAACCAATCTCAGGAGCCACGTAAACACAAAATGTATAGGTAAGTCAGTCCAAAACAGCTAAAACTGCTAAATATAAATAAAAAAAAAAAAAAAATTTTCAGGGGCATTTAAGCACTTTTTATGAGTTGTGATAGCGAAAGCATGAATGTCGTTCTTCCGCTCCCTTAGTTCGTCTGCAGCATACTGGCGTGGACGGCGACGTTTCGCTACTGCCGAGGTAGCGGCCGACGTCTAGGAGCGCGCACTCTCGTGATGTGGCCACGCCGCGCTGAGCTCGGCCGTGCAGCCTTTCCGGAGTTTGCACGTTTGGGCTCTGCACCCAGCTGCTCCCTCTTACCGGCGGCCGGGTCGCTGCGTGCGCTGCGCCCCCATGGAGAGGGCTTCTCTGGTGGTGTTCCTTGGTACTACGCCGCGCGAGGGCCAATGGGGGCCCTATTCCTTGAAACTATGATGAACGCCAGCCAATGGGAGCCTATCAATCAGATTTCTGCTACAGACGACAGACTTTGCTCCACTGGGACAGGGGAAGGTGCCATTTGGCAGAGCATCAAAACCTGATGACGTCGGTTCGCTCCAGGGAACAGTTAACGCTTACGCATCAAAAAAGAAATGGCAACCGGTGCCAGGGATAGAACCCTGGTCACCGGCATGGAAGCCGAACGCGCTGCTGACTGAGCTACGGACCCAGCCCACAGGGACGGGGGGAGCAGAAGCAAATGGTGTGAGAAAGCGAGCACAGCGGAGAGGGTTGGAAAGGGCAAGAAAGAACAGAGCAGAAACAGGTGGTGTAGAAAAAGCAGGCAGAATGAGGAGCAGAAAGGGCAGAAAAACAAGCTTCTCTTCTCTTGGTGACCGAGAAAATTCAGCACAAAGGCCTTGTATAGTCTAAGCTTGTTATAACAGACCTTGATTTTGACCAAGATTTCGGTCTGTTGTAAAAGGAGTATGTTGTATGCACATATGAAGTTGAGTCAATGGTACATAGAGGAAAACCAACCGAACTTCACAAATCGGTATATTATATACAAATGTCTGTTGTAACCAGGTCTGTTATAATGAGCTTAGGGGTGGTGAGGGAAGTGTGTGCAGTGTCACAAAGAAACACTCGTGCGATGTAATTTGTTTCCATACAGTATACTGCCCTAGGCACCAGCCAAACTAAGAGCCCCACCCACCCTATAAAGCTACTACAACTTTTTTCCGCTGCCTTTTTGTCACTCTCTTTTGCACTCTTTTCTGGGGGGGAAGTCCAGAGCGCATTCGTTTAATGGAGCAAAGCACCACTGTATGCCTAAACACGTGATGTTTTTCTCCCACCGGGAGTAACACAGAGGCACTTGAGAAAGAGGTTTGGCTGGAGCTGGTGTCCAAGCAGCGAGAAGACAAGCGCTGCATCTGCGTTTGGCTGGCAGTCGACCTTTTGACTTTCGTTGCTGGCACTTGACGGGATGTGGTTAGGGGCGAGTTATATAACACATTCTGTGTTAGAAACTGCAATGTCCACCCCAAAAAATGCCACAGAAACGCATCCTGCAAAAACCGACTACATCCGTAAAATCAAGATTAACCAGGCATTCTTTTTTTTTTTTTTTTTTTTCAGATTCATTGTTGCAGTTGACCATCCCTGTGGGCCCGATGAACTACAGTTGCAAGCTGCACTCTGAGTAGCCACAGGCCAGAGACATCTAAAAAAAATTAATAGTGTTTGAAAGAGCTGTAAAAAGTGCTCTTAATGACATGAACTTATGGGGTGTTTAACTTGAACAGATCTTTTAAAAAAAGAGGAAGAATGTTAGACAAGATCTGTCTTTGCCATATATAATCAGGTTTGGCACACATTAGATGAAGGGATTATCGTACACTAAGTTGACTAATTAACTAAAATCTGTTAACTTTTTACTACACACAAAGCTCTGGACAGCTACCGCCGTGTATGAGCAACGGCGGCAACCAGACAACCAGTCTGGTTGCCGCCGTCGCTCATAGATGGCAACAACCTTTCCAGCCTTTCCGTCAAGATGTGCGATGGTCCAGTGGTCACCGTCGTGTATGTCCCCATTGCAATGCCCAAGAGACATTGAAGCATTCATGATGGATGTCTTCGGCTGGGACATGCTCGGCGACGACACGTCTGCCGTTGTGACGGGCGACTTTAACGTTGGCATTGCACGCCAGGAGGGAAAGTGGGTCATTTTGTTTATGCTCGAGCGCTTCGGGCTTGCGTGTCTGAACGAACCTATGGTGGCCACGACCAGGCATCGAACGTGTATAGACCTCGTCTTCACGAAGAATGTGCCTGCTGTCAGCGTGCACCCTATGGTGGTATACCACAGCAATCACAAGGCCATGGTCACTGTGGTTACGAAACAAATAACAACCTTGGGTCAACCTTAGCAGTAAGCCTCTCGCATCAGTGTCAAGTTACAAATACAGTGTAGACCGCATATAACGTATGTCGCGGGAGTCGCGAAAATCCGCACTATAAGCGGTACCGCGTTATAACCGAAACATCAATTTTTCAGGCCAAAATACATGCCATGTGACAACTTACTTTTGTAAAAGAATTTATTTTATGTTAGATGAAAAATAAAGCTTAGTTTGAGGAAAGTCTTTATTTCACCAGACTAGTACACTTCTCTCTCAGGTGTGTCACACATTTTGAAAGAAATGAGCGGCTTTTGCCTGGCGCAGCCTCTTAGCGGCGTCGCGGGTTACGGTGGTTGCGGACGGATGTTGCGAGCGTTCAGGATTGCTAACCCTAATCACTTTTCTCCGGAGATGAAAACGCGTGAAAATTCGGATCCTTCATACGGTACGCGCCAGTAATACCTTGAACTTGAGCACACGCATGAAATGCGCCAAATAAGAAATCCGGGCGATGTTCGAGGACACAAATGCTTAGAAATCACCAATGTAGTCGAAGTAAACAAACACGACGACACGGGCGTTTCTGCCGTCTTGAGAGCGCCGCCACGACATCGCCGCTCGAGTAGGTGGATCTTCCCTTCCAGTACGTGCTTGGTTATCATAGCGACACACAACGAAAATTCACAGTCAAGGATAGCGCTTTTACGCGGAACGATGAGATGAACGCCGTCTACGACGACGATCACAACGTTGATCACAACCGACGCCATGTTCGCGGATAGAAGCAGCCGGCCCGCGACGGGCTCTTCTTCTTCTAAGCGTTGTGAAAGATGGTGGGGGGGGAGGGGCATGCAACGCGCGCGAACACTTCTCCTCGACCTGCTATTGGTCTGTCGTTGCGGTTGTTGGTTTCCAACGCAGCGGAGGGACGCACGCACGTGAACGACACGTGCGTGCGTCCCTCCGTCGCTAGGGCAACTGAAGCCTCTCTCTTCGCTTCTCCCGCTTCTTCGAGCACCCTCTTTGCCCCGCGAGTGCCGCTTGCGCAACGCTTGCGGCTCGCGCCGTCAGCGCCGTTATCTAGTGTCGCACAGGCAAGCGTGCTCGCTGCTCCGGTCGTCGGCGCGGTCGGCGGGTTGTGCCAGAAACCGCACTATAACCGGTATTTCCCTTCGTGCGCCTGCGTTTTAAGCGGTATGTAATTACATGGAGTTCTATGGGAGGCGAACCGGTGGTTTAAAAAAACCGCGTTATACCCGGTCCTGCACTATAAGCGGTTACGTTGTAAGTGGTCTATACTGTACCTTGGTGTTCATATAACGTCTAACCTTTCTTGGAAACTTCATGTTGAATATGTGATTAACAATGCTCATCGCATGTTAGGATACCTTAAAAGAAATTTCTTCCTCGCTCCGTCCTCTCTGAAACTAACCATGTACAAAAGTCTAATTCGCCCAAAATTAGAATACGCCGCCGCTGTCTGGGACCCCTCACACTCTTCACTAATTTCCCTTATTGAATCTGTCCAAAACCGTTCAGCCCGTTTTATCGTATCAAACTATCACCGCACTGCCAGCGTTTCTAGCATGAAAATCTCTTTAGGCCTGCCATCACTAACGCATCGCCGTGAAATCTTTTGTCCGTGTCTTTTCCATAAAATATTTCATCAAAATGCTGACCTTCGTCGTAACCTAACTATCCCACCGTTCTACATCTCTGCTCGCATTGATCATAGTCATAAAGTCGGTGTGCCAAATTTTAAAACTTCGTTGTTTCAATATGCTTTTATTGCCCAAACATTATTGGCTTGGAACCACCTTCCCGCCTCAATAGCTAACATTAATGATATTGTTTTGTTTAAGAGAGTTTTAACTAACATGTGCACATTGTAATTATTATTTTGATGTCCACTCCCCTCTTCAACGTATTACTACCTTAAGGGTATTTGAAATAAATAAATAGAAATAAATAAATTACTATATATATGTGCAATTCTTTAATCAATCAAATAACCAATTACCCAATCACACCTTAATCCTTACATTTATAAATACTTCATTCCCACCATAGTACAGCTTCGCTGGTCTTCCTTCTCCACCAGAGCGGAAAGGCTGAAAGTTTTTTACTATTTTTTTTTTTTTAGGGGTCATGGTGCAATTGCAGTGTTGATGGCAATTACTATTAAAGGCCAGACCAATTAAAATAACTTGAGAAAAGGTAATGGCTTCATTAAAATATTAACCAATAAACTTTTGTGTTTCTTCGCTCGATTTAAAAATTGCACTCTAAAAAAGTGTCCCAAGCTGTGTCCGGAATAACGCTTGGAAGAGTGACATCATCGTTTCATTCATATCGTCACTATGCATCCTTGGTTGGTGCGCCGACAACACAAGTGACGACGTGACTAAAACGACTCGCCCTTCCATACGTCACAGTGATTTGAGCAAAATTTTTAAATCGGGCGAGAAAATGCAAAATCTGATTGATTCAATCTAAAAAATCACTACCTTATTGCAAAATTGGATGAAGAATAAAAATCAAGATGATTTAAATCGTGATTTAAATCTTGATTTAAAGCAGACTGGTTTTAATATGGTGATTTAAATCAAAGATCTAATGCAAAAATAGATTACCTTTTTTTTAATTGCTTGTTTATTATTTTATAATTTCTGTGTTAATGCTTTGGCACTTGAGGGTTGAGGGCAGTGTTGCCAGACGGAGAAAAAAAAAGTCAGCAGATTGATCCCCAAAAAGTCGGTAGATTTGCACAAAAATCAGTAGATTCTACGAAATCTGCGTTTTGCCATGTTTTGCTATTTCCATTAAACCATACTTCATAGAAATAGTATGGAGTAACAAATAACATGGTAATAAACACAAATAAAAATGAAAGAAAAAGACCAGTTATCGAGTAATTCGTTATGAAGGACAAAATAAAATGGCACCGCAAGTGTTTATTTTTTTTATTAGCATTGATTAGTTTTGCTGTTTCGAGGATTATTCTTTGAAATCGAGACTGAGTCACATTTGGGATTAACAGATGAGGTCGACAGTGCGACATCCACCTGTCGCTAATATTGAAACCAAACCAAAACAAGACGTTCCGGCAAGTGCGTGCGTACATGTCCAATGGAAGTCCTCTGCAAGCTGCCATTTTTCCTTTCTGGACTGTGGAAGGTTTTTGACGCAACGCTGTCGGCGCGGAGCACTGTTGAGGGTACGCATTGTCCGCTACGGGCATATTTCTTTTTCGCCTGACTCAAAGTTTGCGTTCAAACGTGGAGATATTTAATTCGTTAGCTTTTTAAGCCACCGAGGAATAACATTTTATAATTTTCTTGCCAGAGCCTGCCAATAAAAGGAAAGAACCAAAATTTGGATGTTGATCCGTTGCATTCCGCCGGGCAAATGAATGAAAATGGCAGCCCTCTCTGTTCAGGTGGGAGCAGCCGACAGTTCACGCGCATGCGCTCACACCTCTCGCTCTGCGCCACAGGCTGATTGGCTCACTCGGGAGAGGGACGCTACGGCGGCGAGATCATAGTCTGGCCAAACTCTCCCCCTATATGTCTCTGGCTTGGATGTCACCACTGATCTCTATTGTAGTAAAATAGAGATCAGTGGATGTCACCGTCGAACCTGCTCTGGGTGAATAGATAGATGAATATAATACGGCTAAGTCACTCGAATAGGACGGGCTTCTGGGCCATCTAGCCAGTGCTTCATTTTTAATTCTGGGAGAATATGAGTTTCCTTTGATGGGCGACCCTGGGAACTGAAGGGGCCAAATAATAAATTTTAATATGCTTACTAAAAAAAAAAGTCAGTAGATTTTCGTTTTTTTCAGTGAATCAGTAGACCCGGAACGAAATCAGTAGATCTACTGATAAATCAGTAGACCTGGCAACACTGGTTGAGGGTATATATAATAAATAAATACATAAAAGTGCATTTGTTTTGCATTTGAATCAAGGAATCATTAGGCAAGAATGATTTCTATCAGTCTGAACATGAGAACAAAGCTATGGTCTACTGAACAAATTGGAATGGTGAGCTTTCTTTCTACCTTGCATTATCTTCGTCAGCCATGTCCTACTCCAACAAAACCCGAACACAAAAGAAGCAAACAAAAACTGGAAAAGTAATGTCCCATAACAAGGAAATCAGAATAGAAAAAGAAAGCAAATAAAGCTTTTTCATTAACTAAAAATTTTTTGCCGTTTTTATTGAGTAAAACCTATGGCAGGGTTTTACTCAATAAAAAGTAGTTGATTAAACTGTACTTCAAATTTACAGTAATCTTTCCTTGCATATTTTTTTCAGTGATCGGACAGATTGATCATCCAATCTGTCGTGTTTAAAAATATACATCTCTTGATTAAGAAGCACTATTTTATAGCTAGTGATTTAAATCAAATTAATTTGATTTACTTGAAATGTTTTTTAAATCACAATTTTTTTTGTACTTTGCTTCCAGAGTAATTGTTGTCGATACTGAAATCGCAACATTGACCCTAAAACCAATAAAAAATGTTAATTAAGAAATTTTAGTTAATTAGTCAACTTGGCATGAAGATTATCCCCTCATACAATGTCCGCTGAGCCTGATAAACATAAGGTGAAGACGTAACTTCTCTAACCGTCACCCCATATTTTTAAAAATTCTGTTTGAATTAAAATTAATTACCCTGTATAATTGGGCTAGGCAGGTTCTGTGCAAGCACATGTCAGGGAGAACACAGAAAATGACCCACTTGTGCAGGACACGCTCAGTCTTCTGGTTTTTGTCCTTGAGGATGCGAGCCAGCTCCTGGTTGATGGTGAGGAGGGCAAAGCTCTGCGACTTCTCGTCCTTGCAACACTGTCATCAGAGAGGAAACGACAAAGCACATTGTAAACAAGAATTCATAGTCCGGAAAAGAGGGCCACGAACCAAGAGAAGATGGCACAGTAATTTTTCGGGCAAACGCCCTTTGATCAGCGACAAAAGGAATTGGGGGCTTCTCATAGCTACCTAGATGCAAAGGTCAAGCTGTTATTCGTGCATTTGGCTCGAGGGGGACTATGTCAAAAAGATGGACATGCCTAGGTGACCTCCAAGGAATGAATATCTGCAGCAGAAAAAAAAAAAAAAAGATACTTTTTTTTTAAGTAGACGTGCTAGCTACACTATTGTACGCCTGCCGATTCTTGTCCTATTCCTTTAGAAACAATCCTGCTTACTCAGTCACCTCCCTGAAACAAGACACTTATTCTGTAATGACATACTACTGTGGACCACCAGTGCAGCAAGGAACCTGCATGCACAACCGACCACAAAAGAGGAGTACAAGGAACCAGCGGTTGTAACTACAAAACTGTGGAAAAGGGAACTAAACTGATGGAGAGGCACCAGAAGCGAGTCTTAACCTTTATCGTGTCTTGGGGGATTCTCTAGTCAACACTCATCTTCCTTAAAGTAAGCTTCCTAAAAGACCCGTCATTTACAGTAATTCACCAATGAAACATGAGAGGGCATAAGTTCTTATAGAACCTTGAAGCAATTCAATTAGCTTATGTGCTCACAAAGTGGAAAAATAAGGGGAAAAAATATGTGCCTCTCACATGCAGTCATGTACTGTAAACAAAGTTTCGCAAGGACCTAATTTTCGCGAATTTCGCGGATCGTCTACAATTCGAGAAACATAGGTCCTGCAAACAATTCCGGTAAAATGTAAACACACTGGAATCTATAATGAGAAAATTGGAACCCACAAATTATTCCAAAATTTCAGCTTTGACCTAACAGCTCTGTTGTAAAATGGAAATACCTGGTTTATTTGCATAACTAATGCACAATATTTTTGTGCATTAATTATGCAAATGAGTTAATTATTTAAGTTTAAATGATAGTCCAATCAGACTTGCTGCCAATGTGTTTGCCTGACTACAATGCTCCATTGGATGACTTTACCCGTTTGACCGGCAATTACTTGGGCCAGTTCTTTTTTCTGTCGGCTGTAAATGCTTCCTCAATTCTTGAGGTCTCTAGCAACAATAAAGAGGCAACAAGGCCAGGGAAGGTTAAGGCATCTCTCCCAGATGAGGTCTCGTCTCACGAGCCCAATTGTGACAATCTGTCACAACAGGCATTGTCAGTTTCCTAGCTCATCTACGTGACATGCTGCTCTTGGCACTCACAGCAATGGGGGTGTCCTTGCTCTTGTTCACCAGATCCAGTTGGGCTCCATGGTTCATCAGTAACCTAAGCACAAAACAATGAATGCACAGTCAAATATATGCATCGCTGATGTCGACAGTTTGACATCTCCGAGCTGGCTGGGATCTCTAAGACTTGGACAGCAGGGGGTGGGGTCCACCCTTATAAGCCTTTATTGGTTGAGCATAGTGAGGCTACGGCAAAATTGTGATTTGGAGCAATTTTTGGAGAACCTGAAAACGAATTTCGGAGCACTTTCGAGCAGTATGTAAAAATGGCTTTTGGAGCACTTCGGAACCCATAAGCATGAAATTTGGAGCCCTCTTGAGCACCTAAATATCACTTTCCAAAGTACTTTTGAGCATGCAGTTATGAATTCTTATAATCACCTAAATTTAGTCAAGAAATTTTTTAAAGTTTGCAAACCTCCCGCAAAGCTTTTTATTTTTACTGTAGAGTAAGTTATTTGGTAATGTTGGTCTCCACAAAGCTTAACTACAAAAAATTTATCAATGTGAAGAATTACTAAACATATCTTTCTCAGATAAAAAAATACTGACATAACTGTTGACGCAACTTACCGTGCATCATTTCATTTTCAACACAAAGAACCTATCAAAGGCCCGACACTTAAAGGGACACTGACAGGGTATTTATGCTCGCCAAGGTTTTTACTTGTACATGACATATGAGAGCCTAACTACCCAGTGCACAATTCGCAACTCGAAATTCGTTTTTTTTTTTTTTTTTTTAGTTTGAAAACTGTTGATTGAGAACTGGCCGGTTTGATTCACGCTCACTCTCTTCTCCGTGGTCACGTGCTGTTTTCTATGGTTTAGACACAACCACCAAAGATAATCAAAGTCGTAGGTCATCAAAGGCATACACTCAAAACTAGAAATGGACAAAGAATACAATACCCATGTTTTGTAGCTTCCAAAAAAAAAACAAAAAAAACATGTTTTCTCAAAAAAAAAGAAAAAAAGCTTGGCACCTTTTTTGCAATGAGCCTAGATTAAATAGAGGGCAGCTTGGCTGGGATTCGAACCGGCCAACTGAGAATCCTCGTTTGAAAGGGTCCAAATTGAAATGATCCTCATTGAAGTGGCTACGGATCCTCAGATGGCTACAGATCCTGGATAAGCCACCGAGCCACTGAGGCGGCCGGCACCTTGGTCGGCAGGTGGGCCCGTTTCGATGCAGACGTTCAATTGCAAAGCTCGGACCACGCGGGTCGAGCTTTGTGTACCGGCAACCCGGTACACGTGCTCCCCGCACGTGTACCGGATTGCCACTCTGGAGGCCAAGGACACAGCTTGGGTTCTCACAAGGACAACTTGAGAATCCACCATCTGTCGAAAGTAGAAGCTCGAAGGCCCCCAGCAAGTGCGAGAAAAGATCGGACGACCACTTACACAACTGCGTCGTAGTTGTCCTGTCGGGCAGCTATATGCCTAAAACAAAAGGAGAGAGTTTGTTGGTAGGTGGCCCACCGACACAACCTCGTGGCAGCGCTCCATCTAATCAAACTCACAGAGGAGTGTCTCCGTGTTCGTTGACGGCATTGACGTCGCTACCACGCTGGAGGTACATCCACGAGATCTCCACGTTGCCAGAAAAGGCGGACCAGTGAAGGGCCGTGTTCTCCTCCTGTGTCAAGAAAGAAAACATTCATCCGTAACTCCCGTGTCCGGAGCCCCGTCGTGGTGGTCTACCATTCTTTGCCGATCAGATTCATGTCATAGCCCCCTCCCCCGGAAAATAGACAGCGCTCGGGGCATGCTTTATCAGCGGATTTCTGCACCCCTTGCGAGATGCAGGCTATCTCTCCCTGTGCCGCTTGCAAATCTGGAGCCGGTGGAGCGCTTGCTGAGTGGCTCCAACCGACATGTAGGAAAGTTACAGAGAACATTGAGCGATCAGGAAAATTTCTTTGCGCCACTTGTTTCGGAGACGTTTGATTCATGGTCACTTTGAAAATTTCAGTTTCGAAATTAGTTTGCACTAGCGATGTGGTGGCAGCCACTGAAGTGATTGCACCAGCAGCATTCTATGATAAAAAGTTCTGAGGATGTCGGAGGGATGCGGTGCTGTTACGAGCCTCGTTACGCGTTGTTTGAAGGTCGGCGAAGCGATGCAACGCGGTGCCGAGGTGTCGACGTTCCCGCCAAACGCCCAAAGTTGCAATCAAGATGTGTAAAAAGCGACTCTTACTTGGGGACGTGCCTATTATATTGTGGGAAGGGTACATCGGTCGGTTGCCTTATCAGCTAAGGCAGTACATAAAAGTTGTGCTCGTCCAGCGCGACGAGTTTCGCGATGCATGCGGGGTTGGCGAGGCGTCGGAAAGCAGCGGCGGTGAAAACAATCGCCGGAGGAGCGCCAGAACAGCGGCGGCGCGGTAAAAATGCTAGCAAGCAGAGCAGCTATGCCTGCTGAACTGTGTACCCGAGAGCCGTCGCTCGGCCTCCAAGTTCCAAATCTGCGAGCACTTGCTATTTGCAAGGGGACGGGGCTATTTACGTGTCGGACAGGGAGGGGCAAGAGCGCAGTCTCAAGCACCCTGGGAGCGTTGGCTCACTCTGTCCAACTCAGAGGGTGTTGGTGGGGAGGCAGGGTGGAGGCCGCAACCAGACAACCGGCAAATGGGTTGTCTGGTTGCCGCCATCGCTCATAGATGGCGGTAGCTGTCCTCAGTTTTGTGGGTACATTTGTTTGTCTGTGGACACGATACTGGGGAAACTAGCCCTTAACAGCTCCGCTGTAAAAAAGGTACAGTCTTGCATGTTGAAGACAGGCTCACAGTACAGCAGAATGCCGATATAGGATCCGAGTTCACTTTTAACAAAATACCAATGTCGTACAATCTGTGTTCAAAACATTTCACAACCCACAAATAAAAAAAAAACAAAAAAAAAACGAAGCGACCGAGCTTACCACCTTACCCCCATACAACCCTTGCACCGTAAAATAAATAAATAAAATAAAAATTGTAGCGCCCTTCCATCTTACGTGAAAATGGAGGACCAGCGAAGCTGTTCCTTTTTTTATGTCTAGGACGGTGCTTAGAGGATGACGTCTAAAACAACCTTAAGGACGACGTCTAGGACAACTTCAAAGATGACTTCTAGGACTACCTCAAGGACGACGTCTAGAACAACCTCTCGGACAACTTCTAGGATGACCATGAGGACGTCTAGCACAGCCTCAAGAACGACTTCTAGGATGACCTCGAGGAAGATGCCTAGAGGACGACCTCTTGGACGACCTCAAGGACGACTTCTAGGACTACCTCGGGGACGACTTCTAGGACGATGTCTAAGAAGATCTCAAGGACGACTTGTAGGATGACCTCGATGACGCCGCCTAGAGCACGACCTATCGGACTACTTTAAGGATGACTTCTCGGACGACCTCGAGGACAATGCCTAGAGATGATAACTAGCGATCAGTGCCTCACTATCTAATAATGCTAAGGAAGGCTGACTCACGCTGGTTGCCCCCTCTTTTTATTTTCATTTATTCATATTTGCCACGACCAATGGGGAGCTTTCTGTCAACATCCGCGGACGCATTTTTTCCCAGATCCTAGCGCATAACAACTTCGCTGTAAAAAGATGGGAGACAACTGCGCTGTACTTACGCCATCCCTGATGTTTGGATCAGCTCCCTTGGAGAGAAGCAGCCGCACGATTTCAACACGACGGTGCTCCGAGGCCCAGACCAGTGGCGTCCAACCACCGTCATCCTGAATAGTAATTCAAAATAGGTGGCAGAAAGAACATAAAATAGACCCTGAATTGTACCATATGTAGATAAATTCAGCGTTTTATATTTTAGAAAATCATCTTGTACATGGACAATGTTGCACAATACAAGGTGAACGTGCTTAGTGCCCTCGACATACCCGCACAAGTGTGTAATTAAGTCGCCGCCAACTGCTTCTGCCCCTGCAGGTGTGCGACTGTCGGTAAAGTCAGCGAGGCTGGAGATCTCCGACAAAGCTGGGCCTGGGATTTTACTTAGTGGCAGCAAACTGCGAAAAGCTCTTGGGGATGTCCCGTTCGATGAGCACATTGACATACGCCTTACGGTCTGGGTTCACTTTCTGACAGAGATATCGTACGAGCGATTAGGCCTAGTATGGTGCAAGCAAATACAATGACTCTGGCAACAAACTGTCACTCTCGACTCCATATGCCACTGACATAGGAACTATGCAGGCAGTGGTATAGTACAATAGCAAAGAGATCACTGATGGCACCGTTAGATATGTTTGTGATTTTACGAGCTTGCTTACTGGGGTGCATCTGCAACAACAAAAACACATAAAAATAAAATATATTTTCTCTGAAAAATTTAATGAAAAAAAATTTGCGGTTCGGTTGTGTTATTTATTTTAAGCTGGCTTAATTTGATGCGTTTCATCATCCGCATTGACTTCGAATTGCCGTTCACTGTATCCCAAATTACTAAAGCAGAATCATATGCCCAAAAAGCTCGAAAGCTTCTTCGAAAGGCATCAAAAAATGTTCCCAGAGCAACAGAGACAAAAAAAAGAAAAGAAAAAAGGAATCAAATTCTGTGAGTGCTGAACATGAACTTTCAGTGCACTCCTTTGCTTTCTTTCTGTGGTTGGGCACATGCACTCAAAGACCCTTACCTGCACATTGATGGGAAAGATGTCCAGGCCAAGGAAAATGTTGCACACATCCAGGCTCCCACAGCGAGCTGCCAGGTGAAGGCATGTCATGCCATCTTCACCCTGAGCACCAGGGAAGTAAAAGAAAAAGAAGGGTTATTTTATGCGTACCACACACCTGCCCATTTTGATCTCGATGAGCTTCATACTGGCATGCGCTCGTGACATTACTAGTATATTGCCTGATGTAAGTTAAAGACCCCATGTTAGCAGCTGTACAGCACTGACTAAATTGCCCTCCTACAGGAGACATAAAACATCCTTTCGAAACAAGCCAATGTCCCGCCGTCTAAACATCCAAACAACAAATTTGACCACCATTGGGTGACTATACATAAAGATCTTCCTCCACACCAACTTTCCCCTTTTACCACAAGTTGGTAACTCAAACTGTTATGCTATCATATCTCAATGTGAATTACTTCAACTCAAATTCATTTTTCTTGTCTGTATAGTATCTTCTTTCATTTTACGGTTAGGAAGTAGTACAGTAGAACCTCGTTGATACGTTTTTCAGGGGACCGCGGAAAAAAAGCGTATCAACCGGGAAAGCGCAGCAACCGATAACGCACTTAAAGGCACTCTATATAAGATAGAAAGCAGCTCTTATGCAATGGTTTATTTTATGCACTTACCGAACTCTTTTGGACTCAGACACGTTCACAAAAACGCGTAATATCCACCTGCCGCTTCGAATTAATGGTATGCAGTAAAAGTCGTTTCTCCAGAAGCCGCAGTCCCCTCTCACTCTCCGCGCAGTCATGAACGTTTACGCAGCGGCGCAAGGTGTCCAACGCAGCGATCGCGTCCGCAAACGTGGGTGCAGCGTAATCGTTGGTTTTTTGTTCGTCTTCTTCATCACTTTCTTTGTTGTCGGCAGTAGTGAGGTCGGCCACAATGTCCGCTGTGCTCGATATCCGAACGATCAGCAATCTCTTGCGCCTTCTCTCGCAGAATGCCTCCGTCGATGTTGACACAAGATGCCCGGGCTTGTTTGAACCATACCAACAGGGCCTCCTCTAACTTTGCGTGTTTTGCACCCCGAGCCTGTTTAAAGCCTGGTTGGTAGAAAGGAGCCTTCGCCTCGATCTCCTTTCGTCTCGCGACGATACTGTTTAAAGTTGACGGCGCGAGTCCAAGCTCTCTTGCGACCTCGGACCTCTTCCGGCTGGGATTTCGATCCACCGTGCGAAGTATGTCAAACTTCTCTTTAAAAGAGAGTGCTTTTCTCTTTCGGGATGTCATGGCCGTCGTCAACGCGCACGCACTCAGAAACGGCACTGTTCACGCAGTCGAGCTGTCGAGCGAACAGAAACTGGAAATGCAGCCGTCGCGGCGTGCGTGCGGCGCGTAAACAACTCGCGCCGGAGAGAGAGGACAGATGAAAAGAAAGAGTAAGAGAGAACGAGCGTTTTCGCAGAGCTCAGCAAAGCCCAGTGAGGAGACCGGGAAAGAGGGGGAAAGGAGTAAAGGGAAGGGGGGCGCCCGCGTGCCGCGCGGCCGCGCGATCCGCGCTGCGTGGTTCGGCTGTTCGGCTCTGCTTCGCTTCGCTTCAAGCCGGCGTGGCACCTTGGCGCACAGCGCGCCGAGGCGCGCCGCGATTCCGGCACTTTTGGACGTAACAACCGGGAAAGCAAACGTAACAGCCAGGAAACTAATACATGTATCTCTATGGAAGTAAAACGGGACCGGCGTTTTTGAACGCAACGGACAGGAAAACGTATCAACCAAGAACGTATCAACGAGGTTCTACTTATTATAGAGTCATATCTCGTTAATATGGACTTCCAACATTATGGACAAAATAGCTATTTTGGGGACGAATTGGGTAAATGCAGGCACTTTTGTCTCGTTATTATGGACATCACTACCGAAGTTTAAAAGAAAAAAAAAAGGTCCAAAAACTGTCCCGAGATGTCAGCGAACCTAAGAGGTCACAGCGTGCACCCGGACTTTCAATGCGGGTCTTGCGATAAGAGCTGCGCATCGAGAGAGGCTTCTGTTTTGTCTTTTACGCAAGATGGGTTATTACCGCTTGCAGTCTAGTCTAATGCTGCTCGAGATTGTGTATGATCTACGACCAGGGACAAAGAAGAATGAACCCTAAAGCAGCTAGGTCACCCCACCGTAGGCCTCATCACCGTTTGAGGAACGGGAGAAAAGCATGTACCCCATTTCACTGTAACTTGGCAAATGGCGAAGACTATGTTCCAAGCGAGCCAATCAGCACGTCGGAAGGAGACACGTGACTCACTAAGTGCTTGCAATGCTGTTACAGACTCAAGCGGGAGAGAGAAGAATGCCGCTTTTGTTCTCGTTGCTACGCTTGTTGATGTGTGTGCTTTAACCCTTATTCGTCATTATGGGCGACTCGCACTATGAACCATTTTTCTGGGGAATGGGGACGTCCATATTACCGAGACAGGCCTGTACAGGGGTGAAGGCACAATACACATGTCAGTGTATTGTGTCGTGCGAGTTCTACTTTCTTCCATGTTGCCTTTTGTGTGCACTGTACTCAATGGTTTAGGAATTTACCAGAGTTTACAGAGCGACTCACCATTACATCAGGAGCTTGAGAAAGCTCACAGGAATTAGCACAAATCCAACATGGTCACTGCCTCTGACATGTGTGCTCAGGTACAATACACATGTTAGTGCACCTGACATGTGTATTGTGCCGGGTGAACTGCATGGTGAGGAGGGCCGTGACTTCAGGATGTAGATCACTCTGTGATGTTAATGTGAATTACCGTATTTGCACAAATGTAACGAGTTTTTTTTTTTTTAAATTATGTGCTCCAAAACACGCTTCGCGTTGCATTCGGAATTGAGTTCAGCCACGAGGCGTGCGAGTCGGGAAAAGCCCATTCCTCCGGCTGAATACAGGAGATCGCGTAGAAAAAGAAATGGGGGTGCGGGAGGGGATTTATAAGTTATTAAGGGGGGAATAAAAAACATAAAAAGCATTTTTATTGCTTTTGTGTCTGTACACCACACGCTAAAAAGCACGCCACACAATGCAGCACTCCACTCGGGAATGCGGGCACTGGCCAATTCAAGCCAAGTCAATACGAGCCAAGCCAAGACCACCGACCATGTTTAAGCAATTGTGCAACACAAGGAATTTGTTTATGCAGAGGGGCCAGAACTAGAATTAGGGTGATCGTGGGTTCAGCCATCTTCTTTCTGCTCGTGCATTTTTTAGATTCCGCTCCTGTGTGGTCTGGTGTTTGTGTGTTGGTGTCTCTGCTTTGTGCATTGCTTTGTTTTCAAGCAGAAGAGGAACTCGCGGGGAAGAAAAAGGAACTACTAGACAATCAGTGCCGTGCTGCTGCAAATCTGCGAAGTCACCAAGTGGATTGCAAACGCGACAGAACCTGAGCAGTGAGAATAACTGCAGTAAAAACGTAAACCGACATTTTAATCTTCTTTTCACTTCTGCCATGCCCTCGACTGCGATAACTTTATGCAACCTTGACCCGCTTTATAATATAATTATTTTTTTTTTCTTTTTGAGGACATAAAAACTTGCCCTCGCGCTATATTCATAGTCGTGTTATATTCGTGCAAATACGGTAATATGACAGGCTAATGTAGTGGTAAGTGAGCGGGTGGGCTTCCAAATGCCGACCTATGCCACCACATCACAGGCACTTACCTTGGCCTTGGGGTCTGCTCCCACCTTGAGCAGGTAGTGCACCACAGAGATCCGCCGCGCATCCACCGCCCGCATCAGCGGGGTGTACAGCTGTGCGTCCTGGCTTTCCACTTGGGCTCCCGCCTGCACACCCCGGGAGAAGATGCCTTCCTTCAGTACAACCCCCTCTGCTGGCTGACTTACAATTGTGGACAAAAAACCGAGCTAGAACTCCCAAAATGCTCAGCTCATCTTGCAGACATCGGTACCCATAAAACAGAGACCACAAAATATGCAGAGGATGCTACTATTTTACTTTTGCTCTTCTAGATAGTCTAAGAAAATTAAATTGCCATATTTGCTACATTGTGCGCAATGTCAAATCTACACAGCAGCACTATTGCATGTTATGTGGTTAATACGGTAACAACCGCGATAAAGGCCACTTTGACCAAATGAGTGATGAAGCATTTCCTCAAGCTAGGCCTTTGCGTCTGATGGCTTTGAAGTATGAATTTCATGTTTTACTTACTTAAAGGAAAACTGAGAGCTCAATGAAACACTGTTCATTTGTTTGAATTACTGACATGCTAGATAAGGCTTAAGGTTACAAAGGTCACATAATGAGAAAAAAAATTCTACAGACAAACCCCTTTATAAAGAACTACTATGAAGATGCCCGTTCAATGAAGTAAAATAAAGTCCCGGACAATCCCCTATGTGTTCAATGTGTTTCTTTGACTACAATGAATTCCTGCTTTAACAAATATTTCCGTTTAACGAAGCAATTTCGTGGCCCCACAGAGCAAAATTGGTCGGTATCACAAGTTTTGTTGGTGAGAAGTAATTGACTTCACGTAAATTGTTACTCTCAAGTGGTGCGCGTAGAGAAGGGAAATACAGTGCAATCCACATATAAAGATAATAAGAAAACCCTAAAATTATATAGTTATAACCAATTATTGGTCTAGAAACTCTAGAAACTGATTGTTATCAGCAGTACATCGTTATACAGTAATCCCTTGTTATAACGAAGTCACTTCATTGGAATTATCGCTTTTATCGAAGTTCAATGTGGTCCTGACCAAAACGCACGCATTTTTAGCTGGATCATTCTATGTTTATCGGCGGGCAACCACACTTATTACCAAGGCCGTGGTGCCGAAAGCATGCAAGCCTACACGGGGGCGCACGGAGACTCTCGCGTACCCTCCCCCTTCTCCACCGAGGCAAACAGCACTGGGAATACGTCAAACAAAAAAAAACAGAGTAAATGGGTGACGGAGGGCAGAGCGCGCAGAGCGCCACTTCCGATGTTGATGCGCCGACGTGGGAACGCGGGCATCTTCGGCGCACCCGCGACCCGAAGATGAAAGATCGCCAACTGCTATGCGACCGTCGGACTTTCTCTCGCGAGCATGCTTGCCGAGCCGGCGCACGATTCCCAGAGCTGCAGCAATCTCTACGGGAGTGTGGGAAAACATGTTGGCAAAGCCACCCAGGAAAACTTTGATTCGTTTGCGCTTGTCGCCGTGGACGTTCCAGTTGTTGCTCCTGCCACGGACGCTGCGATCGTAGGCCTTGCGTGCGACCAGGGTAAACACAAAGCGACGTCGGAGAGGCACCTCGGGAAACGCAGACGACTGCGGAGACGCGAAATATCCTAGGGCTACTTCGAACCAAAGTGGAGTGCAGCGGCGGTGACTGTTCTTGCGATGCCTGGAGCAGTTCGAGGAAACTACCGTAATGCCCGGATTAAATTATCGGCAAACTCCACTTAATTATTTTTTACACAATGAAGCTGCAGCGAGATGATCATAACCAAGGTTTGTCTAATGAAATATACAATCAGAGTTGCACCGTAATGCTCCTGTCCACCTTCAAGGCTGCTGGCGGTTTTTTTGGCTCTATCGCCTGCATCAAATTACGACTTATACCCTAGTTACACGGGCACCCTTAACTGCAGTTACGGCAAACTATGGTTACGGGCGCTAACTGCAGTTACCGGTAACCGCGGTGCGCGTGTGTTACACGGGAGTCCTCTTCTCAGTCAGCCTATGTGGACGATCACGTGGTTGCCGTCCAGGCGAAGATATACTCATGATTTATGCGACTGAACTTTAAAAAAAAAACATTAGTTTCAAAAGTTGATTCAAGTTATAATCAGTTTGTGGTTATTTAAGACAGTTCGTGGTCAAATATGTTCGTTTAGCTGTTCAGCTTTCGGTAAAATACAAAGTCAGCCTGCTAACACTGGTAGTGATCGACTGCTTTAAATTGGTTAGCCGACACGACAGCCGAAACAATCCATCGCTTCCGGCTTCCGGTTCGCTCAGGTAGGGTAGCTCAGGTTGACCATTGACCGGCTTTGTTTCTGTCGCTTTGGTCTTACGTGCTTCGTATCTTCGTCGGAGCCACGTTGCTGTGTATTGTATTCCCCTCCGTCAGTGAGGTTTACATCTGCACGCCGTAACGTGGAATGGCGTTGAGCACTCTCAACAATCCTGTGCTGGACGATGAGGACGAATGCAACTTCTGGTCGATGTTCGCCGCTCATCAAGCCGTGCTCCAACGGCGACGTATGCTGGAGCAAAGTGTACTCGCCGAGATCGACGAACTGCTCTCAGAGCAGAAACGCGCTGAGAGACGGCGCAACCGGCTTGTGCTAGCGGCTGCGCGACTCTGCTCCCGCGAGCGGCATGTGTGGGCGTATCCCCGTGCCAGGTCTTGGTATGAGACTACGCTCCCGTACTTTCCTGAGAGCACGTTTAGGGAGAACTTCCGCCTAGACCGCAGCACCTTCCGGTACGTAGTAAGCGTATGCGAGTGTATGAGACGAAACAACACCAACATGCGTCAAGCTATCCCTCTCGAGAAGCGTGTGGCTATTGCCTTGTATCGCCTGGCGACCTCGGCAGAAGACAGAACTGTCGCAAATCTTTTCGGCGTCAGCCGGTCATCCGTCAACATCATTTTCAGAGAATTTTGTGAAGTTCTGGTGCAGCGCATTGAACCACGGTTTGTCAAGTTCCCTCGACCCAATGACTTGGGTGAACACCTGCGCCAATTTGCAGCAGTTGCAGGCTTCCCTCAAGGGGTGGGCGCCTTGGACGGCTGCCACCTCGAGGTGTGCCCTCCGAAGGATCATGACTCAGACTATCATAATTATAAGGGGTGGTATTCTACCATTCTTTTGGCCGTAGCCGACCACGCATACAGGTTCCTGTACACAAACGTTGGATCACCTGGGAGGAATCACGACTCAGCTGTATTCCAGCGCTCACGGCTTCCGGGCGTCCTGGCTGGCGATCTGTTTCGGTCAGAAGCCAAAACCTTTGAAGGGATCTCTGTTGGCCCTGTCCTTCTCGCAGATCAGGCTTTCCCTCTGCAGTGCCACATGATGAAACCCTTCCCGCAGCCTGGTAGTGTTGGGTCCCCCACACGGGCTTTTAACTACCGTCTCTCCAGCGCCAGGAGAGTCGTAGAGAACGCATTTGGTCGGCTCAAGGCGCGGTTTCGAATCCTTCACAAGGGACTGGAATCGGACATCGAGAGTGTGAACACCATTGTTCGCGCGTGCTGTGTGCTCCACAACATATGTGAGCAGCTAAATGATCGCTGTGAGAAGAACTGGCTCGACACGGTGCAGAGCGACGACAAGAACCGGCCCCAGCCAGTCCGCTTCACCAGCGTGGAGGAGCCATCAGGAGTGGAAGTTAGGAATGCCCTTGCGAAATACTTTTCCGCAAACTGAACAGTTTGGTATGGCTGGCTTCTGTGCCTGTGCGGCCCTGCTGTGTTGTGCTGTTTGAGATGGTACTATCGCGAACTGTATGAGAGGGAATATCTGAGCGTGCGGCAAGTATCATTGGAGCCTACCGTGATGCTACGTGGTTGCCGCTCCTAGAACCAAGGTGCAGAGAGCAGAGCAGAGACGCAGCCACACTACTCTCTCTACCTTGGTTCCAAAGCGGCCACAGCAAAGCGTGGCCGCTTTGGAACCAAGGTAGGTCTAAATCTTAAAGTGTTCCGAGGAAATCCTGACTTTGCGACTTGATTTTTTTGTGAATGAATATACTTTTTTTTTAATGACTTGAGTATATTTCCACATTGTGATCATTGTAGCATTACCCGACATGCTCAACACTCAAACTGGGACGAAGGAACATGCATAAAGGAAATGATCTGGGGAGTCTCACATATATTCAAAGCATAATAGAGATCTGAATTATTCTTGGTACAAGGTTTTTGGTTTGACTGCTTTTCAAAGTCGTCATTATTGCAGCTTGTCCAACTCTGCATGCATATTTCATTAACAGCAGCACATGTAACATTCCCCGAACGTATGTACAATCTAATTACAAGTGCACCGTTTCACCTCCTTCACAATTCAAGCCACCCTGGCATCCGAGCAATGCAGCGGCTCTTGAGCATTACGCCTGACCCACAATCAATGCCGATGTTCATCTCAGGACTTGCAGATTTGTTTAGTGCCAATGTGCGTAGACTGACACATAAGTGTGCTGCTTCAGTCACTCCCGCTGCTTAACGCATGTTTTAAGCATGTGCTCACGGACATAGTGGGGTCCCTATCACCATCTCAAAGATCAACCTATTTGCTCACCGGCATAGATTGGTATACACGGTGGCCAGGAGCCGTCCAGATTCCCAACACTAGAGCAGACACCATCGCCAAGGCCTTTGTCAGTGGCTGGGTGGCTTGCTTTGAATGTCTGTCCGTCGTTATGACTGACCAAGGCCGGCAAGCCGGGACGCTTGTACTTCAGTGTTTTAAGTTTGCTTACTTTTGCCCAAAATCTGGCAAGCTGGGAACCAGTAATGCAGTGGCCAGCGCTTTTTGAAATTGCTTGGAAACGCATACAGTATTGCACTCGTGCAAAATGCCTCAGCCGCGAAAACACAAGCAGCAAGTTTCGTCAGGACACAATAATTATGGCAAATAACTGAAACCGAAACTAAGGTGCTAACTGGTATCCAGAATTCATTTCGTGGAATCTTCTCACTGAATCAAGGCGCCAGGGGCGTCTCGATTCGAGAGAAAGTTTATTACAAACGAATCAATGTAAAGAATTGCGTCAGCAGGGCAGACCACTGTCAAGATGGGTTCCTACAACTGCTGACCT